CTCATACACGTCCTATTATTCCCAAATATTTTTTAGGTTTATCATAAATTGCAACTTTGACTCTTTAAACTACTTTTAAAGAAAGGGATAAAGATATAGTTACCCTTGGAGCGAATCTTGTTGGATTCTCCACTATGTCTCTTCAAATAGATACAAAGGTGTGCAAGATCCCCAAAACTCTTCATCGAGGATGGTTGAGATGAGAGATTGATAACTTGGGAGACAAAAGGGCTAGCCCTTGCTCTCCAAAGTGGCCGGCAAAAAGGGTATTGAGAGAGAGGTGTGATACTTCCTCTTTTCCAAAATTCCAACTTGAAAACCCTAAAAGAAAATGGTGCCATGACTTCTATCTTAGAGACCCACATATGTGACACATGTGGACTTATTTCCACATGTGCCCCATCTCCCTCTTGGTGGCCTAATTTTAGGCTATCTTGGTCCTTTACATTTATTCCTTAATGTGTCACATGTGTCTAAAGTCCTATGGTCCAATTCTTTATTACTTACGTCATGTGAGACTCAATTAATGTTCTATAACTTTAATTCAATAAATTAAAACTATTCTAATTTGTTTAATTTGTTTAATGAATTTACAAATTAAGTCACTATGTCTAACAAGTATTGGTCCTAGTTAACTTTAATTGACCGTGTCAAGTGTCCGGTCAACAGTTGACCTTTGACTTTTCATTGACTTTGACCAAGACAAAAAATCTCTTTATCTTTTCTAGTTCTCAGTCCACCCATTTTCGGTGTGTGATCTTATAGGTTCTAATTAGTGAGGCCATGGGTAAGTCCAACTTCTTCTAAATCGAGTATGAATTGTATCCCTCCATAAAATTCTCCCTATTGATGAAAGCTAATTATAGTTAGGCCTTACAGGGCTTCCACAAATCATAGTTGACATCTAGCAGTATGTCATGGCTATCCAAGTTACCTAAAATTCATTGGAGAAGCTAGTCAGTTTATGATTGCAATGCAATTCGATCATTCTCTAATACAATACTCTATGTCACATTGTTGGGATACGGTTAACTCGTGTCAAATTCCTAATGTGACATTTCTAGGTTATATGATTCACTTGGATGTGATTGCAAACATTATTGTTTCAATTATCATCCCATTCTTTAGAGTATTTTCTCTTCTTACTAAGAGTAAAGATTCCTTTTTGTACATTCACATGCCTCTCTGAACTTGTCGGATATCTCGATGAGCACCTTTAAGTCATATCTTTTGATGTGACTTTATAGTGTTCTAAAAAACAAACAACTAATCCACAAGACAATTGATGTCTCAAGCCTAAGGACTAATTTGCATTATCGCAACTTAGAATTACTTGTTTGACACTTGTGAGTAAAACAACCATATAAGAATTCTTAGTTTGATCCCGTTCAGTGAACTCTATCTCTATCGAGTACTTACATACTTGTCTTAGTGTCTCTACACGAACGACTTGAGACTAGTCATCCTCCCAATTGAGTAGACATTATGTGTACCAGTATTTGCTGGTCACCATTGTCCAATTGGTGATCCTATGACTATGAACATTTTAAGATATGATATATTATGATGGAAATATCTCGTGAATCTAACATCCTTACATTTCTTTCCATTTATATCATTATCCATGGACTTGTTACTTTAATGTTTGCATATACATTTTTTAAAGTACCATTCACGCCCTAAAAAAAACAAAGGCAAATGCAAGGCAAGGCAAGGCAATTCCTGAAGAGAAGGGGTTGTCGAAGCCAATAAATATGCAATATTATCTTCATGGGAATATGTCAATGTAAGCAGGGTAATTGCTAGGCACCACATCATTCGGCTTTGATACCATGCCAACAAAGTATATGAGAATTTTTTTACATATTTATTCTTTTCCAATATGGTGGTATTTATAAAGAAGTACAAAGATGTATTAATTCTAAAAGAGATAATAACAAACAAAGAAAATAAATCTCAATCACAATAAGACTATAAAAGCGTAAGTAACCAACATCCTAACTAAATAAGGACTCGCATGTACATACATACAAATTGTTCAACCTATACATAGTTGCCACTATAAAGTGAAAGACCCTCATTAATCAATCCTGAAAACTGTAGGGCTCATTTGATAAACTGGAGTGCAATGAAATTTGAAAACTGAAAATATTTTTAATTTGTTTTAAAAAACAAGGATGATTTTGAAAACATTTTTCTGAAAACAAAAGAAATTTATTACCAAATATGTTTTTAGTTTTTATTTTTGTTTTTTAAAAAGTGAAAACAAAAATTCAAAAATAAAAATAAAATTGTTATGGGCCGTAATTTATTTACTCTACAATCTAGAACAACCGCACTACAAAAATTATTGGCTTTATTATTACACATATGCTAATTAATATAAGAAGGTGTTGTACATAGATAAAGTAGAAGTACGTACTCAATTAATTTATGCAAGGCCTAGAAAAATGATGGGCAAAAAAGAAAAAGAAAAACTCGCAGATGTTCAGGTCAATGTGCACATCTACGCGGAAGGACATGTCGTCAGATTAATTTTGGGGTTCTCTTCTGTCTTGAACACATCATCAAACAACATACATGTTCGAGAAATGTAGAAGATCTGGTTCAAGCACAGGAGGGCGGTATCTTTGGAATTCCCTGCCGTTGTAGCTCCACCATGACGCTGTCAGTAGCCGGAGGCCTTAGGCCAAGAGGAAGAGGCAGCCATGGCTTCGATAAAACATCTCCAATAGCTGCATCTATGCTCTCGTTTGACTGTTACATGAGCATATAGCCAAATCAGTACTGTCATAAGTTGTTCATACTACTCTACGTACTGAGTTTGAATCTATCCCTCCTCCTTGATGAAACAAAAAAGTATTACGCTCCTTATGTATACTAGATCGGATTTCTTTTTTTCTTTTGAAGTTTAGATACGAAGCAAGTGGCCCGTGGCATTGAAATTTATAAGAGTTTAGGTTTTTTGTTTTTGTTTTTCCGTAATCAAGAGTTTAGGGTTTGGACTTTCGTACTTGAATCCTAAAGCCCAGAAATAAAGCAAGGCATGCAATCACAATTGCTCTTTGAAAAAAAAACGAAAAACAAAAGTTAATTATCGCTCATAAGGCTCAGGCTATTACCTCTGACAATATTTTCTTATTTTTTTTTGTTGTTTTTTTGTTTTCGATTTAATTATGAAAGAGTAATGCTACTCTTACCACATTTGTATATCACATTTTCATACCACCTTTGTATATCACATTTTCATACCACCTTATGTGGCAGATGAAGTGGACAACCACATCAATTAAAAAGTATCAATAAATTATTAAAAAAAAATGTTAAATTAATTTAATTGATGTGGTTGTACACCTCGTTTGCCATATAAGATGGTATAAAAATATAGTATACAAATGTAATAAGAGTAATATTATTCATTATGAAATCCCCCCTCCCTACATATTCTTGTGAATCATATTCATATATTTGAGAATAAAAATCAGTAAGTCGAAAAGGACAAAAAGCCATAGAGATACTGACCGGATGAAAGTCGACAAGAGGGTGGGGCCCAGATTGCGGAGAGGGGACAGCGATACCTGTGTCTACTTTGTACATGGCATGCGGTGGAATGCCTGGGACAGGTGGAGCGGGAAATCTCTGCTGCTGCATGAAATAAAATTCAACCAAAAGTATTTTATATAAGCCAAAATAATATTCCATTTACAAATAAAAATATAATCACATGCATATATAAAAGATGCCAATAAGTCATATATATGCTGCTCCAAAAGTGCATTAATTGTACCAACAAAAAACACTCAGGCTAACTAGAACCTCCAAAACAGTAAGGAATGATTTGTTACCGTCGCAGTAGCTAGGTGCCTTGGAAAGCATGGTGTTCCTGGGGTTAGTGCATTTGGAACCTACACCAAAATCAACAATATATTTAATTAATCATTTTGATTTTCATAGATGGTTTTTTCGTTCAACTTGATAATTAGATTATTATTTTTATTTTGGTATTTTATGTTGGCTAACACAAAATATATATACCAAAATCAGAATTTAATCTAACACCATAATTTATTTAAAAAACAATATCATCTGAAGAGGACAATGGAATTTCAATTGAGAGAGAGAGAGAGAGAGAGAGTTACACGCTGGTGGTGAGGGGGAGGGTGGTGCCAATACGAAGCATCCGAAGGTGGAGGAGGAGGAGGAGGCCATGCATGTGCAGGTGGAGGAGGAGGTGGTATTGGAGATGGGAAATTATGGGGAAGATGCTTTGGCCACATGTGCATCATAGATTGGTCCATGGAGGGGTGGCCCCACACATGTAAGGGTCTGATCATCTGGTGGTGATGGTGGTGGTGCATGGGTGGTGGTGTAGGGCTAGGTATGGGAGGGAAACCCATGGTGGGTGCATTGAGCCAATTAGGGCTGTTCATCATCATGACGTCACTTCTACTACTCTTGCCTCCTCCTCCTCCTCCTCCTCCTCCTCCTCCGCTGACAGCTGCTGCCCCATACATTTGTCGTCTCTGGGTCCAGCTTGCTGCCTCTGCTTCACGGGCTAGCAAATGTTTCCTATGGGATCGATATTTCTGCACATTAATATTTAAAATTAAATTATTAATTCTTCTTCATCCATCTTAATATTCTAGTTTAATTAATTGGAAAATAAATATAAGGCAAATTCCAAAATTGTGAAAGAAACAAACTTGTATATTAGTCCTAAATAGATTTTTTTTCTCTCTTTGAAGAAAACCCTTTTTCCATACTTGTTTTTGGACCAATCTTGGGGAGAAAAATTAAACCCTTTTCTCTAAACTGAATGAAACACCCAAAAACCAAGAAGAACAAAAAGTTGCAGATCTACTGACATATTAACAAGCCCGCAAACAAGCTAGCTGCATCGATGATGTGTGTTAAAAGGGTCGTCCATAATTATTAATGAATTAATTAATGAAAATAATTAAATTAAACAACCTAGCTGCATATATATATATATATATATATATATATATGAAAACTAGCTAGTGTAAGAGGCGGGGATAAAAATTGTACTTGAAGGTGGCTAGCAATATTGTGGCGAGTGAGACAATCTATTCCCATAAGCTCTAAAATCCTAGAAGGCACTGCTTTATCCACCCCTAGCTGCTCTACTGCTTGCACGAACCTCCTGTGCAGTTCTGGTGTCCAATCCACCTACACACAATTCAACAACACCAAAACACAACGTTCTCTTACTCCCCTTTAAAATAATCCCACATAACCACAAATAATAATAATAGTAAAAGTTACCGAATAATTCAAAAGAAAAGGAAAAGTACACTCATCATAACCATTATCTCTCTCTCTCTCTCAATTATTGCCCTTCATAAACTTGATAATTAATATTATTAACAAATGAATTCCAGTCACTCTCTGCGCCTCTCCTGCATGATTCCCGTGAATCCTTTGCAGTTCATCAAGTTTGTGAAGACCCATGAGAGAGAGAGAGAGAGAGAGAGAGAGAGACTACTTTCTATCCATAGCACGAGCCAGCTTCATAATAATAAATAAATGTATTTGGTAGTAATTAAGATTACCTTTACTTTTCTTTTCCCATGAGAATTCTTGGATTGCGCTGTGGATGATGACTTCCGAGCCAATTTCTGATCAGCTGATTCTTTGGGGCTCGACGATTGATTGAGCAGCTGATTTTGTTCATGCTGAGATGCCCTAATTTGACTAATATTATTATTAATATTACTATTAGAGTCTCCTTTACTCCCAATTTCTTCATGTCCTCCATCTCGATCCTGATCTTGAGTGGCAGAAGTAGTAGTAGTACTAGTATTACTGGAGCTCGAGTAGTTCTGATTATTTCTCGTAGTAGTAGCACTTGTTAAACTATCCGCTGCCGCTCTGGCACGGTCCTTATCCTCCTCCTCCTCCTCCTCCTGGTCTTCCACTTTGGACGAAGTCGTCTTTGCGTTATTATGATAATATTCGTCACCATGGTCTCGGTGAGCCGAAAAGTCAAGAATTTCGGAGTCCATCTCCAAATCGGGGAGCACGTCGCCGTCATGGATGCCGATGAAGAGGTCATCGAAGTCGATGCTGTCAAGCAGGTTCCCCATTCCCCCTGTAAACTCCGGGAAGTCCAGCCCCGCCGACCCCACGCTATTCCCTCCATTGAAATCAAAACCCTCCACCTCACCCTCATCTCTACCGCCGCCACCTAACTGCTTCTCCTCCTTGAGCTGATGATGGCCATCCCTCAAAGGTGATAAAATAAGCATCAAGCAACCCTTTCAAAATCTCCAGTTATATATTATATATATATATATACACACAATATGTATAATCTGATATTGAAAACTAAACGACTCCTAGCTTACAAGCTAGTAATCTGCACAAAAGATATAAGTTTATTCCATGAAAATTAGTTTCAAGTAGACTGGTAATAATTAGTACTGCTCGAGCAGAAACTAAACTCTCTGCTTTTTTCCTCTTTTTTTTCTGGAAACTAATTAGGAGAGATGAAGTGAAGAGAGAAGAGAGGAGACAAACAAAGTTGTATAATGGGGCTGGAGATGATGGTTTTGTTTTCTTTTTTGCAGCGTAGTGGAGAAAGTGAATAGAGGTCAGATGGATCTCAACCACAACTTCGGTTGAGATCTCTCTCTCTCAGATTTGTTTTTAAGTTTTTGTTTTATGTGAGATTGCTACGTATAATTTTTTCTTTCTCCTGTTTATACTTGGTTTGTGGATGCCCTTTTTTTGAAGTTTTTTTTGAAAATCTGTCAAGCTGGCTCTCGTGAGCTTTATTTTATTTCTTTTTTGCAAAATTAAAAGCCTTTTTTTGAAGCTAAAAAGGAGGTGAGAGAGAAACTCCAAATTGGTGTCAGCTGGGTAGGACCGTTGGGCTGGAATTGGAATTGGATTGATATAGTGTCAGCTCATGTACATCCGTTTGTACAGTGAAAAAGAAAATGATCGATTTGGTAGTAGCCATGTGGATGACACAAACCCGATTCACCTTTGTACTTTTATGGCAGATAATTATCTATCATGCTTTCTTTTTTCTTCTTTTTCTCCAACCGTGTAATAAAGATCATTCGGAAGTCAATTGAGGTATGCTAGTTTTAATTTTCTTTGGACTTCCTCTACACAAATGTGACTGCATTCTATACGATTGTTTTTGGACAAAGTAGGGTCTTTTAGCTATGTGATCACATAGAAAATTTAGAAATAATCATGCAATTTCATGCTCAAATCTACCACTCACAAGTATATATATGTTAAATTAATCTAATATGAGTTAGAAAAACTTGAAAAATGGTAGAGGCAAAAGCTTGACATTTTGTTCTTAAGACCGTTTAAGGCCCATTACACTGCTTATGGTTGATTGATCGGCACTTGTGTCCTAGAATATTATGACCATGTTCTAACAATTGTAGCACTCTAGGTGCTCGTTTGACATTGCTTATTTGGGATGATAAGTGATTTGTTTTAAATTTTGAGAAGCCCAGCCGTTTGGTAAACTATGAAAAATTCACTTATTATTAAAAATTGTTGTAATAATCAAATCTTTTCAATTTGAATTTTCAATAATAATAATAAAAAATTTGAAAATTTTCCAACTGATAAAATTGAAATGAAAATAGATATACAATTATCATTTAGCTTATTTTTTTACATGGATAATAAGTAAAGAGAAACTAAAAATTGTGCAATTATGATCATTGTTTATAGTCTAAAAAGGAAAACATGGACATCCTTACTATAAAAAGCCTTGCCACTGATAGCTAATTTGGTTTAGGATTTAAAAGCCAGGGAAATTGGTAAGAGGGTTTAGGGAACATATTTGGATAGTATAGGGAACATATTTGTGAATTTAATGCTTTGACATATGGGCATGAACTTCCTCAAGAAAGTTGAGTTTCCACCCCAAAACTAATTGGTAATGGGGTGGAGTAGGTTAACTCTCCTTATAAGCCATTATGTTTTCTAACTTTCCAGTGTGAAACTTTTTACCTTTATATTCTCACACACTTATGCACGTGTGGCGAATTTGTAACGTGTGGACAACACATATTGGGTGATGTGGAGCACGTGAGGCTATTGAGCTTTCACAAGTGGGCAACCACTCTGATACTATGAAGGAAGTTGAGGGTCCACCCTAAAACCAACTGACAATGGAGGAAGTAAGTCAAATCCTTATAAGCCATTGCAAGATTTTCTAACTTTCTAATGTGGGACTTTTTACCTTCACATTCTCACACTTCCCATATGTCGGGGGAAGTTCTTACCCTTGACTCCCCTTGAGAAAGTATTTAATGAAATATTTTTGGACCAACTTACCTAAAATTTCAAACACCACTTTTGACCATTGAAAGTATTAATAATTTTTTTAACAACAATGCAACAGCGTTATAGAAAAGTTGAACTCATCTCAATTTTTAATAGAGCTAGGCTTTTCTGCTTAAAATTAAGGAGAAGATCCTCCTTAAAATCAATGGGGTTTTGATACTTTTCAAATTCTTGCAACATTGACAAAGTTTCAAAAAAAAAAAAAGAATATTAAAAAAATTTAACACGTGTCAAAACCACATTAGTTGTAAAGAGTAGCTCCTCCTCAGTTTTAGGAGCCGAGCTTTTTCCTTCTTAATATTGGCATTTGCTTGTACTTATTCCCAAAATTCCCTATAATATGTGAATGAAAACGTTCTATTTCCCCTCCTAGAATTAAGCATGAAGAGTTTCATTCACATGTCGTTAAATTAAATATATGAATTTCATTCTCGAAAGTTCATTAAGCCAGCCTGATTAAAAGTGGCATCAGTCACCATTATTTAGTGATATTTGGTGACTAATGCTGGGGTGACGTGACTATTTCCACTATTTTCTTTTTTGGTAGTGTTACTTTAAAAATTGTACTATATTATTATTATATTAATCCCAAGTACTATTTTACAAAAAGCCCAATTATTTACTCTAAAACTAAAAAAAATGGAAACTTAATAAGGGATCAATTATTTATATATATTTTTTTAAAGTTAAACGGCATATAAGAAAATATGCTATACTCAACCAAGGAAAAAAAAAACAAGCAGTTTATTATTGATCATCTACTGCAAGAGGATGCGATCTTCGAGGAAGAACAAGAAGGTAAAAACCCACATGGTAGAAAAACTTGATTATGCAAAGTTAATTGATACTCTGGCATTGAAAAATGCAAGATGAGGGATATTTTGATGCATTTTATATGACAACAATAGAATTATAGAATGGAAGGGAGACTGTAGTAATTATCACGTATGTAGTAATTATCACATATCCATTGATTGGAACTCCAAACGGCAGCAATCACTATGGGTTGAGTTGTGAAGACAGAAGATAGAAGAAGAAGAAAAAGGTAGATAGATAGATAGATGGAATGACTTACATAGTTCCTGCTGCTTCAGGGAGGCTGTGTCTGCAACGTTAAGGGTTTGAGTTGTTTGAACTCCTTCTGGCGTGTATTTTTTTTTTTTTTTATAGGGTTTGAGTTGTTTTGGAATTGTAGTAAAGTGGTAAGGGTATTTTTGGATGTTAATAAGAGAAAACAGGAATGAGAATCATATTGACTACTCCCCCCTAGTTGATCTGATACCTAATTTTGAGGGAATGTGATTACGTATTTTTTCATTCCTAATTGCAGGAATGTGATTACGCATTTACTTGCAAACAGGTTGTGTCCACTTATTTTTTCATTCCTGATTGCAAGTAAATGCTAGGGAAGTCAGGAGTGGAAATCATTCCCTTTCCTCCCATACCCATTACTGATACGTAAACATGCCCAATATGTTACAAAATTTATTTACCATATTTTTTTGATTAACTACTTTGAATATATATATATATATTTAGAATGAAAAAAAGTTTATTCTAAAAGATTGAAAAAGGGTTTTTATGCAAAGATTGTTTGTGTAAATTTCCTCTATGGAGAATATTCTCGAATGATCTTCTTTTCTCTTGATCGTCTTCTTTCTCGATCCGTCCAAAATAATGGTGTTCAATTGGAGAATACCAGTGTAGTGTTGGCCAAGGGCCCTCCGATGCCTAAGTAAGTAAAATGATCTCAAGGAGATGTAGATTTAACTGAAAGGATGGAGTTTTCCTCTCCGGGGAGAGGAGGAGGTGCGGACGCTGGGGAGACGGTGTGGTGGAGAGAGAGAGAGAGAGAGAGAGAGAGAGAGAGAGAGAGAGAGAGGTGAGAGGCGTGAGCTTTTGGGGTATTTTGCTAGGGTTTCAGAATTATCTCATGTGTGGTGTGATGCCATCTTTATATACAATCTCCATCTTTGGTAGGGTTTGTAGAGAATAATTCCCCATTAATGGGAGTTATTCTTTTCCATAAATGAGATGACATGATAAAATCAAGGAGATTTGGTAGGCATCGAATCCTTGATTTATGGAGATATTCCTATCTTAAATAAGGATAATTGGCTAATTAAATGAGATTTAATTAGCACAATTATTTGACCTAAGGAATATTCATTCTTCCACGTGTCACCTTCAGATTGGTTGCCAAAATTCCATGTTCCTACAAAGATGTTTGCATATATATATATATATATATATATATATAAGAGTTTCAATTGATGGATCCCTTAAATAAGCTTATTTGAGTGACACCCTTATAGGGCCCACTCTGCATGTTATTTCACTAATCTAAATGTTCATTTGGTAGATATTCATTCAAAAATCATCCATACAAAAAATCACTTAAATCCATTATCATTTGACCACTCAATTACATTATTGAAATTTAAGTACTTTCTTAAAGTATCGTGTTTATTGGTTTTATCGGTCTCAATTAGATACCTTAATGATTTTCAATTTGCATGATTTTTTGCAAGGATGATCTATGAATGAAGATGTGAAAACTAGAAGGTTTGGATCGCTGAAAAAAATTTCGTAGAGTACCCTAAAAGTTGTCTCTCAAAAAATTATTTGAGGGATCCCTCAATAGAAGGGGACTATATATATATTTCTTTATTTCTTTATTTAAGGTACCCTATGAATTGTTTTTCAACGATCTTAACTGTCTATTTTTCAAGTGTTTATTCATAGATCATCCTTGCAAAAAAAATCAGAAAAATTGAAAATCATTAAGGCATCTAATTGTTAGCAACAAAATGGATGAATACGATGCTTCAAGAAAATACTAAAATAACAATAATCTAAGGGCAATGATTTCCCCACTCCTATTTTATCCACTTACACTCCTTTTTTAGTTATTAAAAAGGAGTGTAAGTGGATAAAATAGGAGAAAAAGGAGTGGGGAAATCACCACTCATAATCTAATTGAGTGGTCAAATGATTTTGGATTGAAGGATGTTTTTGCAGATATGATCCTTGAGTGAATATCTAAAATTTAGACGATTCGAATCATTAAAACATAATGTATAGTGGGCCCTACAAGGATGTCTCATGTCTTAAAATATTAATGATTTCTGAAAAACAAAAAAGAACAGTAATGATTTTCATTATCCATCCTATAAGATGCCTGGAATTTTGTTGCAAATATCCATATACATGAATGATGGGGCCAATGCACTGGAAGACACATATCAGCCACTACGCAAAACTTTTGTTAGGGTGGTAAGGGCATCATTCTCACGTATATTGAAGCCCCAAGGAGTTCATTGGTCATGGGGTTTGCTGGGAA